AGTCGTCCATTCGGGTAACCTTCCAACCCCTAGAGATGCAAAACTGACTGTGTCATTTATCTCCCCAGAACGGCTTCTTCTTCTTTTAATGTTTATTTTTCATTTTTGAGAGAGAGTGTGTGAGAGGGGCAGAGAGAGAAGGAGACGGAGATCCAAAGCGGCTCCACCATGACAGCAGTGAGCCTGATGTGGGGTTTTAACCGAGATCATGACCTGAGCCAAAGTCAGATGTTCTACCAAATGAGCGCCCCGGGCGCCCCTGGCTTCTTCTCCTATGTCCCTGCCTCCATGGGTAACACCATCCAGAAGCCAAAACCAATCAGCCATCATTCCTTTCCTTCACAGTCAGCCAGTCACTGAGTCCCGTTCATATCTGTTCACCAACCACCTCCCAATTTTGCTCTCTCCTCCTGTCCCAACTCTGCCTCTGTTAGGTTCGAATCCCCACCCCTTCCTGCCTGGGTGGTGCCCTGAGGGGTCCGCCATATGAGCTGTTCTCCTGTGTGGTTAGTCTTGTATCTCTGATCCCTTGTGGACTCTGATGCATAGTAGGGTTCTCAATAAATATTGGAAAAAAAGAGTGAATGGTTTATTGTTTTAGTGGGCAGTGTGTCCCGGTGACACTTCCCTCTGTAATGACTCTTATTCCCATGGGGATATGGGACTTTATATGTGTCCAGACGTCCCAAGTTACACACACGGGAACCAGGAAAATAGCCCTGAGCAAGTACTCTCTGAGCTTATCCCACAGTGGAGAACTGACTAGGGCAGACAATAAAATCTATATATATATTTTTAATTTTTTCTTAATGTTTTTATTTATTTCTAGGAGAGAGAGAGAGAGACAGCGTGAGCAGGGGAGGGTCAGAGAGAGAGGGAGACACAGACTCTGAAATAGGTTCCAGGCTCTGAGCTGGCAGTCAGCACAGAGCCCAATGCGGGGCCCGAACCCACCAACTGCGAGATCATGACCTAAGCGAAAGTCGGACGCTTAACCGACTAAGCCACCCAGGCGCCCCAAAATCTATATATTTTTAAATTATTTGTTTATCAGTGAAAGAAACTGCCACTTAAAAGCTGCCTACTTGGGGTGCTTGGGTGTCTCAGTCGGTTAAGCGTCCAAACTCTTGTTTTCAGGTCATGATCTCACAGTCCCGTGAGTTCAAGCCCCGCATCGGGCTCTGAGCTGGCAGCGCGGAGACCGCTCGGGACTCTCTCTCCCTCTCTCTCTGCCCCTCTCAAAAATAAATGAATAAACTTACAAAAAAGCTGTCTGCCAGTTTATTTTATTATTTTTAAATGTTTTATTTATTTCTGAGAGAGAGACAGCTTGAGCAGGGGAGGGTCAGAGGGAGAGGGAGACACAGAATCTGAAACAGGCTCAAGGCTCTGAGCTAGCTGTCAGCACAGAGCCCGACACGGGGATCGAACCCACGAACCATGAGATCATGACCTGAGCTGAAGTCAGACGCTTAACTGACTGAGCCACCCAGGCGCCCCAGCTGTCTGTCGCTTTGAACCAAGCTGATAGGTCTGTTGTTGGGAGCCTTCTCCTCCCCTTCAACGAACAAAATTGCAGGCATATCACCCAAAAAAGACCCAGTGGATGATCTTTCCTCTGAATGTAAATTTCTCACAGTCTCGAAGATTCTGAGAATGGCGGGGGACAAAGCAGTGGCCTGACTGCACTGCTCGAAAGTCCCTGCTCCAGACCCCAAGCCACCCCAGCTTCTACTCACTCCAAACCTGTCTTGCAGCCCACGTTAGCTCCACGGCTCTCAATAACCTCCCAAAGTTTCCTTTTTAAAACTTTGCCTGCCATCAAAGAACTCTGACTGGGGGGGTAGGGGGAAGTTCAAGGTGCCCCTCGGAGAAAAGCATTTGAGACCTTCTCTCCTTTGGGGGTTTAATGTGCTTAAATAGCGCCCAGATGGCTGGAGATAGACCTGAATCAAGATCAGATATCAGGAAAGAAGCAGCAAGACAGAGGGAAGGCCTTGGCATGCGGGGGGTGGTCTAGATGGTTCCTGGATGAAATGCCAAAGCTGGAAACGTCTCCTGACCCAGCCCCTCACTCCTGTGGTTGGGACGGCTGTGGCAGCACACACTGACCCCCTTGGGCCACACAGCCACATGACCGGGAACGACTGATAATTGGCAGCAACAGCACCGCTGCATGGGAGCTCTCGAAACTTTCTGGACTGCAGCTTAAGGTGCCTGGCAACTTTTGGGGTGCCTGGGGAGCTCAGTCGGTTAAATCTCCAACTTCAGCTCAGGTCATGATCTCACAGTTTGTGGGTTCAAGGCCTGCGTCAGGCTCTGTGCTGACAGCTTGGAACCTGGAGCCTGCTTCAGATTCTGTGTCTCCCTTTCTCTCTCTCTCTGCCCTTCCCTCACTCTCGCTCTGTATCTCTCTCTCTCTCTCCCCCTCTCTCTCTCTGTCTCTCTCAAAACTAAATCAGCATTATGGGGCACCTGTGTGGCTCAGTCGGTTAAGCATCTGACTTCGGCTCAGGTCATGATCTCACGGTTCGTGGGTTCGAGTCCCGCGTCGGACTCTGTGCTGACAGCTCAGAGTCTGGAGCCTGCTTTGGATTCTGTGTCTCCCTCTCTCTCTGACCCTCCCCTGCTCACGCTGCCTCTCACTCTCTCTCTCAGAAATAAATAAAACGTTTAAAAATAAGGAAAGAAATCAACATTAAAAAAAAAGTGGCTGACAACTTTCAAGTGGCAGTGTCTCTCCCGAATTTTCTCTTCCGTCGTGCTCACCGGCTACTCCACTACAGAACCTGCTCCCTGTGGCTTGTGGCATCTCAAACCAACGGAGACTTCTGTTCCTAGTCCCTAAGTGTGGTGGGCAGAATGATGGCCCCGAATAAATACGTCCACTCCCTAGTCTCTGGCACCTGTGAACATGTTACCTTACACGGCAGAAAGGGCTTCGCAGATGTGGTTAAAGTTAAGGACCTTGAAGTGGGGAGAAGTTTATTGTGACATATCTAGGGGGAGACATTTCAACCAGTCCTTCGAGAACTTCTTTGATCACCTATTTTCAGGGGCCACAGAATCCCTGGAGCCTGATGAAGCGTCCGTCTGTGGATCGGGCAGCTAATGGATGGGATAGACTGATTTTCCCATTCCTTTCTCTGGAAGTCTTGTAAGTCTTTCCTCTGTAGTATTCCAAGGGAAGTGTGACCCTTCTAGTGCGGGCCATTGCCAGGTCTAGGCTGGGGTGAGCCCTCTGGAAAAAGCTGCTGCCAGATGTCTGTGTTAGAGCAAGAAAATCCACCTTCCCCAAGACCCACCCCCCACAAGACAGTCCGTGTGTCAAGACCTGAGTATTCACTTTCTGCTGCCTGGTGGTGCACCCCCCACCCCAATTCCAAGTTTGTGTGTTTCTCGCAGGCCTCCATCAGTCGTCCTGGATGTGGCATCGTCGTCCCAATCTGACCTTGCAAGGCGCCCACAGGTCCCTATCCATCCTATCATCAGCCTCCATGGGGCCAAACCTAGCAGCCGAGTGGAGAAAAGGGGGAGGGGAAGGGTTGTGGACATCTCCCATCCCAAACTTCTTCCCTGTTCTCCAAGTGTCCTCTGTCAGGGTCCCGCTGTGTTAGCAAAGCCCTTCCTTTGATGTAGGGCCTGCCACGCTGCAGCAAACACACAGGAAGCCCCAGAACATTACAAAACTTTGAAAGAAACACAGAGATACCAGACATCTGTCAGATAACCGGCAAACTGCTAGCTGGAGGCTGTTCACAGTTTCAACATGGGCTTGCACCGTGTTCCTTCCACGACATAGTATCTTTGTGAACCTGGGCTTTTGGCAGCCGCCACGATTAGAAGCAAGTACTATTGGGAAAGTCGATGCGTAACAGGAAATGAAGGCGGTGATGTCCAATCTGATTCCAAGCTTTGAGAAGCTGCGTAGTGCCCAACAGGCACATATTTCACTAGCAGGTAACTGTGATTACTTAAGAATAAAAAGATCCTTGTATCTTTCAAAAATTTGTTTAACGTTCATTTATTTTTGAGAGAGAGTGAGAAAGACAGAGTGTAAGCAGGGGAAGGGCAGAGAGAGAGAGAGGGAGACACAGAATCCGAAGCAGGCTCCAGGCTCTGAGTTGTCAGCACCGAGCCTGACGAGGGGCTTGAACTCAAAAACCACGAGATCATGACCTGAGCTGAAGTTGGGCGCTTAGCCAACTGAGCCACCCAGGTGCCCCGATTCTTATATCTTTCAACGTATGCATATTATTTTTTCCAATGACTATTGAGTTATTAAAACACAACTACCTCTTATATTGTTTGGACCTAACTACTTATTAAATGAAACTGTTAGGCATTTTAAAAAGTTTATTGTAAGTCAGCTCCACACCCAATGTGGGACCTGAACTCACCACCCTGAGATCAAGTCTCATGACCCACCGACTGAGCCAGGTGCTCCTGTTAGATTTTTTTTTTTTTTTTTTTTTTTGGCTCAGGGTGCCATGAAAAGACCACCGAGGTACTCAGGGTGTGAAGGATACCATGAACCAAGGGAGTTTAAGAATCTCTGCCATAAGGATGTGGTGGGGACTTCAGTGACGATTCAGCTCTCCCGGGTCCGTTTCTGGACCCTGTGTTTAGGGCCCTCTGGTGCCAGCTGGGGCACACAGCATTCCTTGTACCAGGTTTGTGCAACCACCCTGAAATCCTCACTGCCTTCCAGCAGGAAACCTTGATGCTCCTCATAAAGAGTCCTTTTTCTCTCTGACAGATTTCTGTGGCCCCAGTAGGCACTTTAGTATGCCCGTTTTTAAATGAGGAGCCAAACATCGAGCAGCCAGAGAACCTGCCTAAGTTTCCCCAGCCCTCGAGTAGTGGAGCTGGAATCAAAGCGAGGCTTCCTGGGTTAGGAAGACTTCAAGAATCTCACCCCCGACTACTGCCCCAAATCACAGCACAATCAGCCTAAGAGGGTACACCTTGCAGCTTCTGGCTAAAAGCAAGTTCCCTCTGTCGAGGTCAATCCCAGTGGGGCTTTTTCTATAGACGTACCTCGTTGGAAACACCTCATAGAGTATATGTGTGGTTTTCTTTATTCACAGAACTAGACGTTCGATCTGTGGGAAAGAGCTACATCTATCTGCTAAAACTATGTGAGAGACCTAACAGTCAAACCTTTTAAATCTTAGGTATTGGCATATCCCAACAATCTGTACAGTTCTAGGGTGTGATCGTTCAGGGGTGAATATGATTTGAACTTATTCATGCCTAGAGGGTGTCTGAAATTGAGAATCAGGCAGATCCATCTACTCTGACCCTAAATGTAGCCCTAAAGTAAAGATATTGGATCCCAAGGATTACAGGTGGGGAATTTCTGAAGTATGTCCATATTCAAGCAGAGATCAAAGAAGCCCACCCCCAAAAATTGTGGACTGGTGGTGAACTGTGAATTGAACAAAAGTTCTTTTTTTTTTTAATTTTTAAATGTTTTTTATTTATTTCTGAGAGAGAGAGAGACAGACAGACAGACAGCGTGAACAGGGGAGGGTCAGAGAGAGAGGGAGACACAGAATCCGAAAAGGCTCCAAGCTCTGAGCTAGCTGTCAGCACAGAGCTGGACGTGGGGCTAAAACCCACGAACCATGAGATCATGAACTGAGCCGAAGTCGAACGCTTAACCGACTGAGCCACCCAAGGCACCCCACGAAAGTTCTTCTTAAAAGGGCTATTTTCTGGAAACTAACCTGACAATAAACTATTTGTAAAAAAAAATTTTTTTAATTTAAAAAAGGGCTATTTTGAAGATTCTGAGTCTGAACTTTGGAGGAACTAAGATGATTGACAGTGGGAGGGATCACATAAAATCCATAAATAAAAATTCATTGACTTAAAAAAAAGCAAGTCCCTTGGGAGATGAGAATTTTCTAATCAGAGACATGGCTGTCATTGTGAACTGGCTCTGCTCTAGGGGTGAAGATCACAGAATCTATCTGGGTTCAAACCTCCACTTACTAACTTGGTCAAATTGGGCTATGGCTTAACACAAGGCACACAGTCTGAAGTGCCTGCAGCTTCCTCACCCGTAAACCATGATAAGAATGACATTCGCTGCATGGGGGTTGTTATGGACCTCAAATGGGTGAAGACATGTAAAGCCCTTAGAATAGGACTAGGCATATAATAGCTGCTGCAAGCGTTCATTATTATTTTCATCGTGATTTGGCACCAAACCCTACTCCCATTCATAGTGGCCAGGGTGCCTGAGTTGGAATTTCATCTGGAAAGCATCTTATTCTCCAGGCTTTGAGTTGGCTGGGGGGGTGGGGGGTGGGGCGGGGAGCTCCACCAAATGCCTAATGTACCAAATGCCTAACGCGGGGTGTCTAGTTGGGTGCTGGTACCTACTGGAACTCAGTAGGTGTTAGTTCTGCCCCTCTTTAACCTTAGCTCCCCAGTCTGTCCCGATAGCCTTTGAAAAACATTTCATTGAGCCCCTGGCACTGACTCATAGAGCCCCAGGGGAGTGAGGGCTGTAGTGATGAGCGCTGAGATCAATCCAGCTCCAAAAACTGTGACTCTCAGCTTCTACGTGAGGGTCTCTGAACCCAAAGCCACTCCCTCTTGCCAAATCCACATCCCTAAGGAAAGGGTCCATACTTTGGGGTGCTAGTTGGGGGGAGGGGAGGACCCAACACTAACAATTTATTTTTTTTTAATTTTTATGTTAATTATTGAGACAGAGAGAAACAGAGCATGAGAGGAGGAGGGGAGGGACAGAGAGAGAGAGGGAGACACAGAATCCGAAGCAGGCTCCAGGCTGTGAGCTGTCAGCACAGAGCCCGACGCGGGACTCGAACCCACAAACCGTGAGATCATGACCTGAGCCAAAGTCGGCCGCTCAACCGACTGAGCCACCCAGGCGCCCCTCAACACTAACAATTTAGGTGAGTCTGTGCTTTCGCCCCTGGGAAACAGGATTCGTGGGTAAAGAACAGCTTAAGTCCCACCAGCCACTGGAAAGACTGGCAGGGGCCACCTTGCCACACAGAGGCCTCCTTGGGGTCTTCCAAATATGATGGAGAACACATGTGAGCGGATCTGCTATTTTGCCGGTCAAGGGGCAAGTATTTGCCAAAGCGGCCAATATTTTAATAACACCAGCATGTAATAAATGCTTTAAGCAACTATTTATTGAACTCTAGTGTGCTTCGGGAGAGGCGCCGGGCTTCCCGGTAGCTGTAAGCCCCGGCGCCGAAGGAAGGTGGCGCCAAAGGCCCATTCATGGACGCCATCCGCCGGGCTCTCGACCTCGTCTCGGAGCTCCCCCCAGAGAACCTGCAATCTAGACGACCGCAAGCCGTGAGTCGGGAAGGAGAGGGTGCTCGGGCTGGGTTCAAGGGCATCCCGGTCTGGGACAAGGAGTTCGGATCCACTAGTCTGAGCAGACTCAGAAGTCAAGTCCTGGGCCCGGGAGTCCCGAGAAGGTGGAACCTGCTGGTGGGCGTGGCCATGCAGTCATCGTAGGTGGAGCCTGAGAGAAATTGGGGATACGCTCTGTGTGGGCGGTACTTGTGCTCAGATCCCCCAGGAGGGGGTGCTCTGGGTAGGCGTGACTTAAGGGATCTTCAAGGGCGGGACTTGTGAGTATTCCTGGTGGGCGACCCGAGGACTCTGTAGGTGGGCCATTATCTCAGTGTGAAGGAATAGTTGGGCGGAGCTTTCTCGAGTGAGCTGGGCCTAGGGCCCCGCCCCTGTCCTTTAAAACTCTGCGAAGGGGCGGGGCTTATGACTGGGGGCGGAGCCTAAGGAGGCACCTAAGGGCAACATGTAACCTTCGGAAGGCGGAATTTGCATGTCTCCTGGATTTAGGGAAAGTCTCTGCGGGATTCTCTGCACTACTGAACTGGGTCTCTGGCTCCGAGAAGGGGCGGAGCTTGTGGTTCAGTCGGGTTGGGCACGCTACGCAGCGTGAAGAGAAAGTGTAAACTCGATGGAGTTTATACTTCCTGGAGGCGGGAACTAAGAACTGTCAGTCTGCCCGAGCGGCCCCGAGGAGGTGGGGCTTATGGTCCTGGTGGGCGGGGCCATCGTTACTGCCTCGGCCAGGGCGGAGCTGATAAAGCAGAGGGGCGGGGCAATGGTTCCGAGAGAATCTCTGAGCTGGCAGGGGGCGAGGCTCGTGGCTTTGGTGGGCGGCACCTCTGAAGAGCTCCAGCCGAGAGGGCGCTGTGACAGCAGTGGGTGGCTCGTAACTAGGAGGGACCTATCTGATAGTGCCGGCGTCTGTATGCAGGCGAGTTTTGCCTCTGACTGAGGCGGGGTCTGAGAGCCAATGGGCGGAGCCTACGACACAGCTCCCGGTCTGGGCGGAGACCGGGTTCGGCGCAGGCGGGGGTTCTGCCCTGGGAGGCAGTCTGTTTAGGCCCGCACGCAGCTCCGCATCTGTTGCTCATTACCGGATGACAAAGAGCCGGCTCTGGGCCCCCTTCCCCACTCCCATCCCCTCCCTCCGACAGCAGTGCATTTAACTCCTTCCTGCCTTTGGGGCGCTCTGGATCCCCTACCCAGCGTCACAGGAGGGAGCTCCAGTCTGTCCCATCCTGGCCGGCTTTGCCACCCCCTAGAATGAGCCCACATCTCCTTCTCAGACCCAGGCCTCTGGACCACCCTGCGACCTCACTCTCATGCATCGAATCTCTCCAGCGGCGTTTCGGAGGTTAAAAACTCGGGCAGGATCTGGCGGGGGCGTCTGGTTTGAGTTAGGGGAACTTGAGAACGCGGACCGGGGGCGGTGCATAGCGTTCCCTCCACCTCCTCCACGGACCCCGGTTCGTCCCCAGTTATGGCCCCTCCTCTACCGGTCCCCTGGGGCCCAGCCCAGGCCCAGACCCTGGGGCCAGAGGGTGGCACAGGGCACCCCTCCTCTCCTGTCTGGGTGGTCGTGGTGGTTCTGCTCCGTCCTAATTAGAGGCCCCTGAGAGACTGCAACTGAAAAATTACAGAGGCAGTGGGAACCGGCGCCTCCCTGGCCCAGATCCCGCCTCTCCTGGTCCCCAAGGCAGTGAGCCCAGGATGGTGGAATTTGCCAGGTTCCCCCAGGCTTTGACTATCCCGTTCTGGATCCATGGGACACCTCAGCATTGAGCAACTTGCACAAGCTCTGGTCTCCTGGGTTCTCTCTGTCCCGGCACCACCCACAAGAAGGGCAAAATGTGACCCAAGGCTGGAAGGTCTTGCTCAGAAGCCTGCCAAGGGAGCTGGATGTGGGATATCTCTCCCAGGTTCTGTGCTTTCCCCATCTCGGCCTGCTAGGCAGTGACTCCCGCCTTCTCCCCAGACCAGGAAGAGGGGCACCTTCAGAACGCCTCTAAACTAAGGGAATAGCAGCACCCTTGAGTGACCCTGGGCCCCAGCCGCCATTTCTGGGCAGTCTGTGGGCATGGAATAGGAGGCATCAGAAGACAGAAGCTCACCCACTCGACTCCCTTCACTCCCCAGAATCACCAGACTCAGAGTTTACCTTTGACTCCTAAATCCCAGTTTGGCTCCAGTTCAGCAGAAGCCTTCGTTCGAGAATTCTCCCCCATATTCAGCCTTGCTTTCTTGGAGTTTTGGTTAAAAAAAAAAAAAAAGGAACAAATATGAACCTCTCTCCATGCCAAACCTCCCACTCCTGAGCTCACTGTGTGACACTGGGCAAGGTTCTGCCCTCTCTGGGCTCCTGTTTACCTGAGAATCTCCGAAGCATACTCTCCCTTAAGGGGTCTTACCTTATTTCCTTGGGCCCAGACAAGCTGAAGGAAGGTCCCCTCTTTTTGCTGAGTCCTCCCAGACCCTCCCTCAGACATCAATGGGGGTCAGGAACTTTGGGTGAGGTTGGCACCCCATTTATTGGCGAAGACCCCAGCACCCACCCCCTGAAGTCCTGGGGGCCTCGGTGTCTCTTCAGTCGTGAGTGCTGGGCTGGGGAGCAGAGTTCCCAAGAGTCAAGTCTGGTAGTTGACTGACAGAGGAGCCTGGCTGGGCCCGGGGTGGGGGCAGGAAGCCCTCTGTCCAGCTGGGCAGCCCCCATGGGTCCCTGGTGTAGCCTGGGCCATGTGTCCAATGCACGCCCTTTCCCCCCACCCCGCAGAGGGGGGGCT